ACTAAGCCTCAGAAAAACAACTGGCTGTAAACTTTCTGCCTTAATTTACACTACTGTATGCAGGACCTGTAGACATGGATGTATGTTTCTGTATATACCCACCCAGTAATTACTGAGGCAAGCCTTTAATTTGTCTGAAATTGTGCAGGCATAATGGGGACGACCCACACATTTTTCCATTGGAAATTGTAAATGAATGACAAAGAGAGAACTCCGCCCTAATCCCCTCCCCACAACACTTCCTGGGAAGCTTATTCATAACTCTTTGTGCGCCAGGATGGAATTGACACTGACGGGGGTTTTGATAACTGTTGCTCAGTTGATTTGACCAGTCCCACTCCAAGTGTGGTCCTCAGAGTAGTACGGGCCTGTAGTCGGCAGGGAAATTAATTCTAAAATTAAGGAAAAGTGCTTAAAAATTTTAGAGGCATTTGGCAGATTAATTTTCTGTCTGTTGAATCTAATCATAAAATCTAAGGCTTTTTTTGTTTTGTTTTTTTTTGTTTGTAACAACCCAACAGTATTAAAATCTAGTAGGGCTCCTGTCTCTGGCCAGAATGAGATTGACTCTTTTTCTTTGGTAGATTTATCACCTACAGCAAAACCATCTTCAGATGTGCACAATGAAATAAGTGCTATTCAAATAATACTATGTTATTATTATCAAATATTAAATATCAAATATTAATAATAATATTTGAATAGCACTTAATAAGTATTTAAGCATGAAGTGATGTCTTGGTTTGGGGTCCCCTGGAAGCACACTCTGAGAGATGGATCTGAACAAGCTGCATATTTGGTAGAAGATTCCAGTGAGTACTAGTAGGGAAGTGGGCAAGGAAGCTAATAAAGTGTGTGTTTTCAAGTAGGTTACTGCCATAGGCAACTGGAACTCAATCCCACTGGGAGCTCATGGACTGGTATAAAACACACTTCACAATGGCCCCACTCAAGGGGTGAGGGAGTTGGGGTATTCATTGACCGATGAGTGGAGTCTTAGGGGTTTACTGATTACCCCAAGGTCACCAAACAGTTGACTGACAGGCACTCAGTCTGTTGACTCCCAGCACTTCCAGTCTTCTGTGCAAGCCCAATGGGTTCCACAGATGATGAGAAAAGGCATCAGGCAAAGACATGCAGGAGCTGCTGCTTGAAAGTTGGGATGATTTGAACAGATATGGAAAGTGCTGAGGGAATGCTTGGGTTAGCAAAAGCACTGGACAACAGGTAGTTTGGACAGGTGGACTTACCCCAATTTATAGATAAGGAAACTGAGGTCCAGCTTAGCACTATAGTACTTGTGGAAGACAGTGGGGGAGTGAGAAGGATCTCTCCCCTTGACCACCCACTTTGGGTTCGCCCAGAGCCTCTTCTGCCGCCTTTCTTTCCTGCCTTGTGGAATGGGTAGTTTGGCAGAGACTGACTGGGTGCTCATACAGCCCATCTCTGCTTCCTGGACCCCTTGTCTGGACTTCATTTCCCAGCCTCCCTTGCAGAAGGATGTGTCATGTAGAAGAGCTGAGGAGAGTGACTAGAGGTGATGGACAGTATTTCGCTGCTGAACCCACAAAAAACTTTACAAGTTTTCTCCCTGCTTTCTACCTTTTGAACAGACTGGGATTGAAATGACCTCAGGGAATCCTAGAGAGTCACGCCTTGATGGTGGCAGAGCCACAAGATGGAAGGAGTCTGGGTCCCTGGGTTGTCACTTAGAGGTGGGCCACTTGGCTAGAAACATACTCTTTAGAGTTTTTTTAGGTTAAGTCACTGTGATTTTGAGGATTATTTGTTACAGTAACCAGCATCACCTTAAATAATGTAACATCATACATGTGTGATCAAAAAACTTGTCTTTATATCACTTACCATAATCTCAGATTCTCCACTTATTTACTTATCCACCATCTCCCGTCCAAGAGGAGGGACTTTGATTTGTACACCACTGGATCCCTGGCATCTGGCATATGTATATGCTTAATAAATATTTGGCAAATGACTAAAGGCCAATGTATTAACTTGTCCAACAACTCCCAGCAAGCAAGTGAGAGAGTCAGGATTGGAGTCCAGGCCCACTGAACCCTCAACCTGTTAAGCCTTCTGCACATTGCCTGACTATGTATGCCAGGTGCAGTGCTGGAACCTGGGCATGTAAGAAGGTTAGGTGCCTGTTAGGTTGCCCCTGAGGTCTACCTAACACGCAGCAATTAGCACAGGGCTTATGTGTGGTGGGAAAAGCAGACCCGTCTTTGTTCTCATCCATGGATCAGGCTATCTTTTAGAAATGTTGAGCTCTGTGACTTACCCAACCTGAGCAAGGGCTCAGCTATAGAACCACTGGACTTAAGTTATCTTATGGACTATGAGATAACTGAGCAAAATACGTAAAGCCAGATCCTCTTTGAACAATCTAAGCAAAGGCAGTGAGTCACAGAAAAGAATGGATCCAGCAGAACTTGGGATGAGTTAGGAGGAGAGGACAGCACAGGTGTTAGGTTTAAGAGCCTGGGCTTTGGTGATCAGACACTGCTGGCTTCAAGGAGCTCTGTCATTTACCAAGTGGTCTGACCTTGGGCAAGTTAGTTAACCTTGTTGGGCTTCTTTTCCTTATCTATAAACTGGATGTAATAATGCTGGTCTCCTGTGGTAAAATGATTAACACAGAGACACAAAGTGTGTGCTCAGAAGATGGTGGCTTGTATAGTACCTGTTCTTTAATCCCTGGTGTTAAGACAGAGAACTCTACCCTCTTGGACACTAAGATATAAAGACTGAGGTGCTTGGGAGGCTACAATCATGGCGGTTACATGAACTGGGTCCCAAGAGAAAGCTATAGGCTGCCCTGGCCTCTCCTCTACCCTTCCCATGTGCAGCCACTAGAGGGCCTTGGGCATCTCCGTTTAGCACTGTTGTGTTCAGATGTGGCACCCAGGATGCCCAGTGAATTACTAGGGCTCTCTTTCCAGGGGAAGGCAAAAGAGCAGTGCACTCAAAGAGAACCATTTGAGTAGCTACTGAGGGGTCATATTTACAACGGCTGCAATGAGACTGCAGACATCTTACTCTGCTGCAGGCAAACCAGGCCCTTGAGCAGACGATCTACTGCCCACTGACTGAACTGCCTGGGGTTGCCTTAGCACCAGCTTGGGGCCTTGTGTTGAATGAGATAAGGGTCTCCTTGTCTTATTAGACAACTGAGGCAGTGAGGTCTTGATTTCTGAAGATCACTCGTTGGCCCACTAAAGCATTGGGACTGAAAATTAGCTCATCCTAATAGAGGTGGATTATAGTTTAGCAAATTTCCAGAGGTTTGGAACCATCTGATGATGCATGGGAGACCAGGGCATTCTCAGTAGCCAGAGTCCTGGAGCCCTCCCCTCCAATTCACCCCACCTTCCAACTCTCATTTCATTAGGTCAGCAAGGTCTGATATTAAAGCAAATAGCTCACATGGAAAGCATTGCTCACATCAGTCATTTTCACCGTAGTACAAAAGCTCTCTGTTCTTTCTGAAATTTCATTCTAAATACTTAACAAAAACACTTTAGACATGGCTCCATAACTTGCCACTCTTGTTCCTCTGCTCATCACCTTAAACTCCCAGTTTTCAGAAAACACCAAGTACTTTCCTATTTCCTTGCCTTTCTCCATACTATTTTCTTATTACAAACACACCCACTTCCCCTTGCTCTTTTATGCTTTATAAAATCCCACTCCTTCATTAGAACCAACAGATACTTCCCTGATTTCTGCCTCTATTTCTTCATAGTACTTTGTGCTTACCCTTAACAGAACACATCAGAGGGTTTTGTCCTATACATATTGGTCTCCTCATCATCCAGTTGAGCTGTTCATGTGAATAATCTCCAGCCTTTGCTTGAATACCTGTCCTGACAGGATACTCACAACCTCAAAGGCAATGCATTCCATTGCCAGCCAATTCTCTTTGTGAAAACATTTCCTCATTGTTAGGAACCAAATCTATTTGCCTGATACATGGACCCACTGATTCTCTTCTTACTAGTTCAGTTCATCTGTAGCATAAAATTGCTTCAGATGTGAATAAGGCTTCTCATTCCATGATTAGACACAGATCTTAAATATAAATATTCTGAGAGTGGGCAATACCTTTTAAGGTGTAAATAATTCATTGTAAGGTGTAAATGGCTGGGCATGGTGGCTCATGCTTGTAATCCCAGCGCTTTGGGAGGCCAAAGCAGGCAGATCACTTGAGGCCAGGAGTTCAAGACCAGTCTGGCCAACATGGTGAAACCTTGTCTCTCCTAAAAATAGAAGAGTTAGCCGGGCATGGTGGCACATGCCTGTAATCCCAGCTACTCGCGAGGCTGAGGCATGAGAATGGCTTGAACTCAGGAGGCGGAAGTTGCGATGAGTCCAGATCATGCCACTGCACTCCAGCTTGGGGGACAGAGTGAGACTGTCTCCAAAAAAAAAAAAGTGTAAATGACTGGTAAAAAGTTTTCCGTAAGAATAGAATTGTACAGGATAACTTAATGGTGGGGTTAGGAATACCAAAGATATGAGGAATATAAGGACTTCAAAAATGTGCTACAGTAGAAAGAATACTAGGCTAGGAAATGAAAGATGGGTCCAATGTCTTTATGTTTTCTGAGCTTTGGTTTTCTCATTGGGAAAAGGAATACTTAGCATGATAAGTAGTTCCACTTATAACTGTAATTGCAGAATTTTCTGTGGAAGTGGCCCTGCTCATCTGGGCTGTCTTAAGCCTTTGTTCTGACTTGGCTTCCTTAGGTCTGGGCGGGCAAAAAGTCACACATGTGTCAATGGGCCTCAGCCTCCTGGGGGTTGGGTAGACATTCTTGGTGTCAAAGATGCCATGACTTACACCACCCACAATCATGTTAATCACTGAATGAGCCTTTTATTCCCACCTGGGTTGCAATTTTCTTTCCCCTACCTTGAAGTTTTGCTTCACACGGGCTATTTATCACATTTGTATCATAAATGAAGGATGCAGGTAACACATTTTATTATGATTTTATTATATACTCTCTTTTACTAGAATTTTGCAAAGTAAAATATTGAATAAGAACCAACTTCATTTTTCCTAAGTTCCACTCTATAGGACCACCAGGTCATATTAACAATTGCTTGATGCATAATAATCCGTGACTCAATAAATACTTTACAAAAATAATGCAGTTTTTTTTTCATAAAACATAAAAATTAAGATTCCCCAGATTGACCCTCCCCCTCTTTTATATTTATTTATTGGGAATATATTGGTGGAGGAAAAAAATTGTTAAAATAGTATTAAAAGAGGTGAAATGAGGTCCATTATCTTTTTCCCATTTGTTTTGTTGTTTTCCTTTGGAAAAGTGCTACTTCCTGTTTTCACGTCTGAACTTGGCTGCAGTCTTCTGAACCTACTAAGACATGAGCAGAAATTCTACTGTTTTGGGGCCGTTTAGCAGAATGATAGCATTATGATAATACTGCCCTTTCATTTGAAAGCCTATTTAAAATCAGTCCTTAGCTTTGTCCCTAAAATACCATATTCCCTACCCAGTCTGAAGAAAAGAACTTTTGGAATCTGAGACTCCAGCAAGGTGCCTCATGACTAAATAACATTTGGTTTAAGGTGGGCGTTTACATGTTTTGATATATTTCTATTGCATTATTTTTAAAGAAATAAATTCCAAAATTCCCTTTCTCTTCCACTTCCCTAAGTCTCTTTCTTTCTGATCTCTCTCAGAAGAGATTAGTTTCACCACAACTCCAGAGAAAAGGTTACGCTTAAGTCACATTTGTATTAAATAAGTTATATATAAAAACTGCTTATAACGTTTACAACCTCAGTCTCTTTCCCCCTTAGCCTTTCTTTGAAACTCTGGATCCGGGTGTGAATTGAGTCGCACCCACTGTGGCTTCCAGGTTCTTTTTCTGTCTTCCAAGTGGTCCCCATCCTTCTGCCCACATCGCTCCCCAGGGGTACTTTCAAGGAACTCTGCAGATGGCGAGGGCGGCTTCACAAGGCAGTCCCCGGGCGTGGCGCACGCCCCTAGCGTAATGTATGAGAAATACTCATGTGGTATATACAAACATACACGACCGCGGCTAAGAAGGTCTCGGCGCCAGTCGGCAGGTCAGTGCGGCGCGTGTGCGCTCCAGAACCAGAGGTGGCCTCCTCCACCTCATCCCAGTCTCTTTAATATTCCCTGGCCTCTTGGAACTGCTTGATGTAGTCCTCATCCGAGGGGCTCTCTGTGCACTTCTGTCCGTTGTTGGGAGGCCGAGCCTCGTTATACCTGCTCCAGTCACCCTTGCAGATAATCCAGGGCAGGACGTCCACCTTGTAGTGGAGCTCCGCGGAGAACTCGGTGCTGATGAGGTTGGGCGTGCCCGCCCCCTTGCCCCTGGTGATGAGCTGCATATTGTCGCCGTAGCAGCAGTGCTGTGCCGCCAGCGTGGTGCTCTCCAGGGACAGCATGGAGCGGATGCAGTACCGGGCCGTGGGCTTGTAGATCTCCAGCTTCTCCTTGGGCCCACTGGCGTCCTTCCAGCGGAAGTCCTTGCGCTTGATGCGGTCGAAGATGTCAGCCGTGCTGTAGGCTACCTCAGTGGGGTAGGAGCAGGGGCAGCTGGGCAAGTCATTCATCACCTTGTGCATGTACTTCTTTAAGAACTCGCTTTTGCAGCTCATCCAGCGCTCACAGCTGTCTGTGTCTGGAAAAGGCCAAAGAGAAACCCTCTCACCGCATGCACAACCGGCCCACAGGAGGTGCTTCAAGGGGCATGTTACAGCAGGCTGCTCCTGAGGGCCCGCAGGAGGACACTAAAGTCAACAACTCGCTAAAGTCAACAACTCCTTTCCTAGAGCCAGAGACCCCTGCAGCCCCCTGGAACCATCAGAGGTGGATGGCCGTTTTCACTTCCCTTGAACTTGGGGACTTCATTATTCACAAGACTTCCTCCACTTTATATTATAAAATTTTCGGACACACAGAAAAGTAGAGAATATTCTTATACAATGACTACCTGTATTTCATCACCTGGATTTAACTATCATTATCTTTGCTTTATCTTTTAAAAACATTTTGTGGAAATACATAATGTTACCCCTAAATTTTAGTAAGCATCTACAAAAAAGAGGATATTTTCCTAGATAATCATGACCCGATTATCACTCCTAACAAACTTAAGAATTCAGAATTATTTGAATCTCCCCTCTAAATAAGTGATGAGGTCAGGCATGGTGGCACATGCCTGTAATCCCAGCACTTTGGGAGGCTGAGGCGGGCGGATCATCTTAAAACACTGAGGTCAGGAGTTTGAGACCAGCCTGGCCAACAAGGTGAAACCCCGTCTCTACTAAAATTACAAAATATTAGCCAGGCATTGTGGCACGTGCCTGTAATCCTAGCTACTCAGGAGGCTGAGGCAGGAGAATCACTTGAACCTGGGAGGCAGAGGTTGCAGTGAGCTGAGATTGCACCACTGCACTCCAGCCTGAGCAATAGAGCAAGACTCTGTCTCAATAAATAAATAAATAAATAAATAAATAATAAAAATAAAAAATAAAAATATAAAGAAATAAGTGATGATGTGATGGAAAAGGCCCCAAAGGAAGATTTGTAGGACTCAGTTTTGATTTTGCCACACACGGACTGGTTCCCCCAACCTCTTAACCTTAGGCATGTAACTATCACTGTCTACAAATTCACGGGGCAAGGTGCCTCAAAGAGGAAGGAGCCCGGGGCACTTGCTTTTAGGGATCTTAAGATTTGGATCACAGGCCAGTGACCTGTAGGCCTGGGTCAAAATGTACCCCCAGAGGGGTTGTGTTTGTTTCTTTCAGTATTAAAAATAATTGATTAGTTGCCAATATTTAAGAATTAGTTATTTCAATTATAAATGTGGATCTGTGGTTTTATCTGAAAAACCAAAAGACTGATCTATGCTGGTCCTGCATTCTCCCATGGGAACAACTGATCCTGTGAACAGGTAAATGGTGACCCCTCCATGGACAGGGCCAAAGGTCCCCAGCTCAGCACAGCTCCTACTTGATCCCTTCATTTATGGGTGATCTCTCGGTCCCTCAGTCATCTGATTCCAGGACCTCAGGTTTAGTGTCCTAGTTTGGGTTACCCCAGATCCTGAGACAAAAAGATTCCAGTGAAAATGATTTTTTGGGGAAGTGATTTCAGGAAACAGAGGCAGGGGAGCAGGGGAATTAGATAGAGAAGAGAGAGCAGTTAATGCAGGGTGTGGAGCAAACAAGTAACCACTGTAAGGAACTGGTTACTCCCACTGGGATCTGGGAAACCTCACCCCTCAGCATTTTCCTATCTGAAACAATGTTCAACTTTACCCAAGTCCTGTGATCCTGGAAACAGTGAAGATTAGGAGTCCCCCAGCCCTTCTGCATTCTGGAAAACAGCTTACTGCAGAGAACCCCCTTTCCCCATAGGACTTAGAAAAGACTCACAGATGTTTGCTTTGTTCACCTGTGACAAGGCCAGAAGCACAAATTCCCTTTCTTTGCCTCAAAAACTCCTTGTCCTCACTGATTAATCCGGAGAAAATGCATCTTTTTTTGGTGGGGTGGGGAGGGTTGCGGATGGAGTCTCACTCTGTCACCCAGGCTAGAGTACAGTGGCACGATCGCGGCTCACTGCAACCTCTGCTGCCCTGCTTCAAGCAATTCTCCTGCCTCAGCCTCCCGAGTAGATGGGAATACAGGCACCTGACACTGTACCCGGCTAATTTTTGTATTTTTAGTAGAGACGGGGTTTCACCATGTTGGCCAGGTTGGTCTTGAACTCCTGACCTCATGATCCATCTGCCTCGGACTCCCAAAGTGCTGGGATTGCAGGTGTGAGCCACCGCGCCTGGCTGACAAAATGCATCTTAACCAAACTTTGATGAAGCTTCTCTCCTTCACCCAGCTCCCAGGACTTTGGTCCACCCTCAGCCTAAACCAGCACAGCCTCTCCTGAAGGATCCCTTTTGGAAAGAGGCTGGCTTCAGGGTAGAGCATTCTCCAGTCTACTATCTGATCACGCCACCCTTTCATCTCGCTTTCCCTTACTTACTTCTCTATAAAAGGAAACGCTCCTTGCCTAACCCTTGAGATGCTTGCAGACCTTCTGGTCACATCGTTCATCCCACTGCAGTAATACGGAGATAACATCCCCCGCCTCCCTGCAATAATCCTTTGAATAAAGCCTCTCCTTACTGAGTCCAGATTTGTTTTATTGATGGGGATCTGAGTTTTTATCCACCGGCTCCCATTCATCACCAACAGGGGACTGGTCCTGGACTTCCAGCTAGGAATGCCCTGTGCATTCATGTGCAGCTGGGCTCAGGATCAGAGAAAGACCTCAGGCAAAGGCACACAGGGGTTGTCAGTTAGAGGTGTGAGGACATGCTGTGGGTGGAGGGAATGTGGGCTGGTCACCGACAGCCCAGTGAGTGGGCGGGTCATCTGCCCCAGTGAGCTGCGGTGGGTAAGATGAGGCATATCTAAGGCAGCCAACAGTGGTGGAATGTGAGGTGCGTTAAAGGAGGCAAAGGCAAAAAGCCCCAGGGGTGTCCAAAAATGCAAGGTCATTTCTAGCAGGGGAAGTCAGGGTTGCTTCAAGGAGCATGTGACACCAGGTTGCTCCTAGGCCATGTCAGGGCTATGTGACAGCCACAAGTGTCCCGCTCAGAGCTCTGATAAGGGAACCTGCTGTGGGTGCTTTGCTGACTGGCAGCCTCCAGGTTGCACCTTTGGATCTATCATGATTTTAACATCAAGGCCCTATCTGCCCTCTGGCTGCTCTCGGCCAATGACTGAGCATGGTAGGGGAACCGCCCGAGGGTCTCCTCCAACAGGCAACTTTGCTGGGATTCCCCATCAGCATGGCTGAGCCTGCCTTGCTTTCTTTTGTAGGAGTCAGGCCTGCACCTTGGTCTGAAAGCTCTCCCTGCCTAGTCCTGCTACCTTGCTCTTTATCTTTTCTGGGCGTCTCCTCAAAAAATCTCTTGCATGTCTAATCCCATCATGGTGTCTGGGTCTTGGAGATGTCTCATGGACACAGACTGCAATAGCATAGATGGAGGAAGGGCAAGGGAAGGCTCTCCAGGTAAGCGTTCATGGTGCAAACTAAGGTTATGCAGGAAAAAATCTGCTGGGGATGTCTGGGGCTGAGGCATGACATGTTCAGTTTCATGGCAGCAGAAGGTATAGGAATATAAGATTGTTGGTGTCAGATCATGGCGGTCTTGTTCAGTTTAGGCTGGTTCAGAGGGTACTAGGGACCCACGGAAAGTTTGTAAATGATAGTGAGCTATTAACTGAACTGTGCAGTCAGAAAATGAATTCAGAGCCGATAATGATGGGGAGGGTCCAGGTGAGATACTCTGGGAGGAAACAGCAGGTGGGATCAGAAGAGGTCAGAGAGTTATAGCTGCCAGGCCTTGGTGGCTGGTGGACTTTGGAGTAAAGAGAGGAAGACATAAGCAGTGACTCCAGCTCTGACCCAGGAGCCTGGGAGGCTGGTGGTGGTGTGGGTGGAAATCACACGGTTAGGATGAGGGGCAGCTTGCAAGAGGGCTTTGGGCACTTGTCAGTGAAACGAGAAAGAGAAAAATGGGGCATGTCTTATGAATTCAGAAAGGCCTGGCGAAAGGCAAAGTGTGGGATCGCATGCTGAACAGCCCGGGATTGAGTTGTAACTCAACTTTCAGGAGCTCTGCGACTTGAGGGAGGCATTTTACCTTGCTGTGCTTCAGGTTTCTCATCTCTAATTTGGGCATAAAAATAGCACTTCTCTCAGAAAGTTGCAGAGAGGATTAAGTGGGAGGGAACCTAGAGGGTGCACCCAACAGTGTCTAGGTGCTGCCAGCTGGGATAGGCTGTGGCTGTGGCCTCCTCTCTGAGCAGTCATTGACAAAATGAAAGTTCAATCCTTCCACTCTGCTTGTACCTTTGCAAGCAGTCCCTCACCAAAGGCTCCTCAGTTACCTAACTTGAGTGTGCCATGTTCTTTCCTGCCTGGACCCTGACTGAGACACCATGTCTACTCAGCTCTGGTGTCCTTAGCCACATGCCAGTGTGGCCTTGTGCATCTGGGCTGTGTTCTGCAAAACAGCTAGATGCTGCCTGCCTGTGGGGTGTGATATGAAGAGGCCTGAGAAACTTTCTGCCTCAGAAGAATGCCTTTAAGGTTCTACCACTTTCTGTCAAAGTCTTGCCTTTAAAGTCGTTTTTATTTTTCAATCAAATGCATTGTATTTGCTGATGGTTCCTGTTAAATGCATTTGATCATATGCATGTGAAGGGATTGGAGGGGTGAGGTGAAGGCCCTCGTGACATTGAATTTCCAAACTGCATCCAGTTTGGCTCACAGACATTTCTGATTAGATTTGTTTTTAAAATAAATTTCTATCAAGCATTAAAAAAATTAAGATATAATCTGGCAAAATCAAGATTTCAGGTCTCTCTTAGAAACCCAGAACACCTGGCAATACTGGGTGGGTATTCATCCATAGTGACCACATCACGGCCGACCCTTTCGATAAAGCTCTTCATTTTGTCACAGACTTTACCATTCTCTACTGCCCCCAACACTGTTTCCCTTCCCTTCCCTCCCCTTCCCTTCCCTCCCCCTCCCCTCCCCTCCCCTCCCCTCCCCTGCCCTCCCCTTCCCTCCCCTCCCCTCCCCTTCCCTTCCCTTCCCTTCCCGAGATGGAGTTTTGCTCTTGTTGCCTAGGCTGGAGTGCAGTGGTGCAATCTTGGCTCGCGCAACCTCTGCCTCCTGGATTCAATGATTCTCCTGCCTCAGCCTCCAGAGTAGCTGGGGCTACAGGCGCCTGGCACCATGCCCAGCTAATTTTTGTATTTTCAGTAGAAATGGGGTTTCACCACGTTGGCCAGGCTGGTCTCGAACTCCTGGCCTCAGGTGATCCACCTGCCTCGGCCTCCCAAAGTGCTGGGATTACAGGTGTATGTCACTGTGCCCAGACTCATTTTCTTTTCATCATAGTGCTAGAACCATTATTTTCCTCCAGACTTTCTTTTTGTCTTTCCTTTTATTCTAGATTTGTTCTACTTGGATGCTTACCTGACCCCATTACCTGACCCCAATAGGCATTTGAGGAACCTTTTTTGTTCACCAAATCAGCTCCCAAATAGCTGGGCTATGAAAAAAAAAGGACTCAGGACTGCTAAATTTTGGCTGAGGAGGCAGGGTAGATGTGAAGAGGCTAAGTAAGAACTTTTGGGTGGCTAAAAGATATGGGGTAGAAGGAATTTTACCCTTCTACAGTCCTTAAGTATATAGAGAAGCACATGAAGCTATTTTTAAAAGGTAAGCTTGCACCTTGCGCCTGAAGAGTCACTTTCCATTTTGTTTGCTTCACATTTATTGCATTTGCTCTAGCATTTTCTAGTGGACAAGTAGCAGAATGTACCAAAGGTTTATGAAAAATTCTTGCAGGGGATGGAGGTGCGACATTTTGAGAAAATTCCCTCTTCTCCTCCCTCCCTCCCTCTGCTGGAGAACTGAGGGCACCATTTCTTGATTTTCTTGAGGACGCCCAATGAAGGCCGAGTAAGAACAGATTCCATGTGACCTGAGCCCCTGCTATGGGCTTATTCTGTGCTAAGAGGAGAGATGGGTCCTCATCTGCCTCTGGCTGTGAAGACTGCATAGAGAGCAGAGTGAACCCGGAAGCACTCAGTCCGGTGGAGGAGGCTCAGGACTGTTTTCTCTTGCTTGAAGTATATTCAGCAAGCAAGGCACATGCTGGGAGCACTGGACCCCAGAAAAGGAAAATGAAACATTTACGTGGATCCAAGGATGGCACTGCAAAGGCAAAAGGAATCTCCGAGGCACTAAGTCAATATTTGGATTACAAAAGAAAAAAAATCTTCTTACCAACTTCAAACAGTTTGGTGGCATTAAACTCCTCGCTTCCCGCAAGCAGACTTACTTCGGTGGCAGCTGTCCTAAAAGTGTCTTCAATTCCTAAACACAGACAAGAGCTCATTTTTCCATCATTATATGGAACGTTATCTCCCCCCCCAACAATAACAAAATAAATACACCTGAACAAAGCCTTTTTTGTATTCATTACTACTCACGGGCAGAAACTTGCCAACAGAGGAAACAGTAAAAAGCAGGTAGTAGTGCAGAAACTGTATTAAAACCCAAGATACATTGGCAGCATGAAATCAGATCCAAATGTGCCTGAATGAGTCCTTAGGAACTCACTCACTGGGCCCGCGGATGGGGATTTGGGCAGTGGGGGACACATGCCAGGATGGTGTCAGGGTGACGAACTAAACCAGAGGCAACAGAACGTAGTGGTTAATATCTTGTTCTTAATGACTGACTGTGAGAGTTGAAATCATTACTAGCCACGTGACCTTGGGGCAGCCAGTGAACTTTTGTGTGCCTCAGTTTTTATATCTGTACATGGAGAGAACAAATTGCCCTACCTCCTAGAGTTGAAATAATGAAATGAGTTGGTGTAAAGAAAGTGCTTAGAGCAGTAAGTGGGAAGTGTTAGGTGATAGTTTTCCCTTGAATATCTGTCTTGCTCATTCTTTGTCTAGCTCACTGAGGGTGCTACAATGCATAGCCAAGAAGAGTTAGGTCATATTCTAGGACATTTAGCATTGTTGATGATGCTTCAGAAAGAAAAAGCTGGGCTTCCCATAATTTGCTCTGAGGAACTGAACCCAGCTCTACTCAAACTTACTGGCTCACCCAAAGGGCCACCCCAACCAAGCTTCCTTTACAAACAGGAATCCGGTGCAAGCTAAAGCAATAAGAAGAGGAGAGAGTGAGGCACTGCAGTAACATTTGCTGGTGAGCCTTGGCCTTCCCTGCTGGTTTCCCTGACTTGATTTCCGTTAAGGAGCTCTCTCTGATTTTAGGTGAGGCACCTCAAACTCATTTGCAGGGTTGACCTACAGGACACACTTTTACAGTGTAATAACTGCCAGGCCGAGGAGACTTTGCCCCATGAGTCTTTCCAGGAAAGCTGGGAATCAACGAATCAAACAAGGAAAGAGATCCTGATAAAGGAAATCCTTCATGTTCCAAGGGAGCCCAGAAAAGCTGCAATAGCCAGGAACTGAGAGGCAGAAAGGATGGAAGGAGGGTGAGGTCAGACGAGAAGAAAAGGTATGAAGAGGGCTCCTGGTCACACTGCTCTCCGTGGTGACAGAAAACAGGAAGGAAACATTTGTAAATGGAGGCAGAGGGGAGCCTTCCCCTGACAAGGCACCTAAATCTACCACTTTGAGTCTGGATGGGAGCTCTGGAAGAGAAAACAACAGGCAAGCCCCCAAACCTTGACCTCAAATGCTGTCTGTGTCCAATGACAGCACTGGCTGATTCCAATACCCTTCTCTTGGCAAAGACCAAAGAGTTTAATGATTAAGAATATTAACTGTGTAATCAGACTGTCCGGATTCAAATTCCAGGTTGATCACTTGCTGTCTGTGTGACTCTAGGCAAGTTAATCCTCTATGCCTCAGTTGCTACAGCTGTCAAATGGATACAATTGTAAATACCTATTTCATAAAGTTATTGTGAAAACTAAACAAAATAATACCTATAAGGGCTTTAGCCATTTGCTTGATTCTTAAGTACTCAAAATATCTTCTTCATCATCATCTATTTTATTTTTTCTTCTTTACCTTTATTGTCATTTTCTTTTGCCTCATATTTTTACCTTCATCATCATCTTCTTTTACTTCATATTCTTCTTCTCTTTTTCATTTCCTTCCTGTTTCCCTCTCCGTCCTCCTCATACTGTTATTATTTATTGCTTTTTTCTACACATCCAGATTCCACCCACCAGGCTTCCAGCTCAGCTCATCCTAATGAGCATGGGAAAGTCAGGAAAAGCACCGTAATGGTTGCTCCACTGTTTTGAAATCCTGACATGGATTTAATGTATCGGTAATCTATTGCTACACAGAACAAAGTATCCCAAAGTTGGTGGCTTAAAACAACAACTGTTTATTATCTATCATGATCTTGTGGCTCAAGAGTTCAGGCAGGGCCACTGGGTAGGTACTGTGCTCCTGATGGCATGGCTGACATGGAGCCAGAACTGCCACTTCTTGCATTTCAGCCCCGTTTTCTACATGTCCCCTTTTGCTAACATACACATTGATTCCAATCTGATTCTTCCTCCCTCTTCTCAGAAACGCCTTTGTGGTTTCATTTGTCCTTTGTTCCAAATGTCTCTGGTTGGAGAACAGAGTGTCTAGAGGTAGAAAAAGGAAGTCTGGGGTGCGGGGATCAGATTTTCTGTCTCTGAAATTTTTTTCAGCCAAAGCCATTTGGAATGTGTGGTTTCTTGAAAGGCTCTAAGATATTATTTTAGGCTGGTATTCTACCTGGCAATGGGAAATACACAGTAAGACTATACACCAGGAGTTACTAAGCTTTTTGGTAAAGGGTCAGAGGGTAAATATTTTAGGTTTTGTGGGTCACATATGGTCTTGGTTGCAGCTTCCTCCTCCTCTTCCTCCTCCTTCCCTCCTCCTCCTCCTTTTTCTCCTCCTCCTTCTCTTCCTCCATGCCCTTCTCCTTCTATTCTTCTTCCTCCTCCTTCTCTTTCTTATTCTCTTCACAACACTTTAAAAATGTATGGGACACACAAAAACAGTTCTCGAGCCAGACCTGGCCATAGTTTGACAACCACTGTTATAGTCAATCACAATTATTGTTGACTCTCAACATGACCTCTCACCAAGTGTGCAATTAGTTTAGTTTTTGAAGCACTGACAATGCAGTATAAAGTGATAGTTGACTACCAAGATGCCCCAGGTTGTGCTCCTGGGAGCCTTTGGCAACTCTCTGGTATTACCGATGGAGCTGTGTCTTTTTCCTGTAGATGGCTGTCAAGCCTCTCATCCTGGCTTCCTCATCAGACCATGAGTGTCTGCCTTCTGTTTCTCTTCAAGGCACAACAAATCCCACATCAAAAACCCAATCTAACCAGAGTCCCTCCTCTAAATTAAATAAGTACAATGCGGCATTGTCTTTTAGGTCACGGCCACTGCAATTGTGCATAAGACTCAGAAAATCCATTCAGCTCATCAATTATCTCCTGACTCACTCTGGTCAGAAGTCTTATTAGAAAAGTGGTTGCATCTTGGCTCACGCCTATAATCCCAGCACTTTGGGAGGCCGAGGCAGGCAGATCACAAGGTCAGGAATTTGAGACCAGCCTGGCCAACATGGTGAAACCCCTTCTCTACTTAAAAAAAATACAAAAATTAGCTGGCCATGGTGGCATGTGCCTGTAATCCCAGCTACTTAGGAGGCTGAGGCAGGAGAATTGCTTGAACCCAGGAGGTGGAGGTTGCAGTGAGCCAAGATTGTGCCACTGCACTCTAGCCTAGGCGACAGACAGAGACTCCATCTCAAAAACAAACAAACAAACAAAAACAACAACAACAACAACAACAAGAAAAGTAGTTACATCTTTTAAAAAGACAATTTTACTAAGTTTTTAATAATAAATTAAAAAGCTTTCCCCTTGAACTTGGAGCTACACACTCAGGTAAACGCACCTGGACAGTTTGGATGGTCACAGGTCCTCGATTCCGTTGCAGTGCATGCGTAGCCACAAGACCGGGTCCGTTTCTGGTTGCCGTTCCCACAGGTAACACTGCAGACAGACCAGAGACTCCAGTCACCCTCACCATCTGTGGAATCTGGAAGAGAGCCAGGGAGATGCTCATCAACTTTGGCCAAAGAGTCTCCCAATCTCCCCATCAAGCAGCCTGTCAATTATTCACCTCTATCATTCTTGCTGTGGGAGGGGGTTGCTGGAGAAGACTTTTAAGCTGGAGCTAAAAGGTTTATAGCTCCAGCATTCATTTAGGGATCAGCTTTGTGACAGCAAGGAGGTTTTGGGCACCGTGGTGATCTGTATATCCCTAGAAGGTGCCCAGAAAATGCTTACTGAGAATGCATACATTTGCACAGCATGGGATTATATGCTAGGCAGATTCCAAGGGTAACCGCCCTCAGTTCCTTCCCTCTCTGTGCTTATAGCCTCTCATTGACATACAGAGAGAAAGACAGAGAGAGACGAGAACCTATTTTCTCTAGAACCTGGGCTGGCCTTGACCTTAAGGCCTGGCAGCTTCTGGCTTTTGCTGTGGGGAATCCAGTTACTGTGAAAGAGGCTCATGCCAGACCTGTGAATTACGGGGCATCACGTGGAAAGAGAGGAACCACATGAAGGACCACGGAGACACCACACATGTGAGCAAAGCCTTCTCAAGCCTTCTGGCCATTCCCAGTGGACAGCTGAATGCAGCTGGTGCCATTAGGAGCACAGTACCTACCCAGTGGCCCTGCCTGAACTCTTGAGCCACAGGATCATGGTAAATAATAAACGGTTGTTGTTTTAAGCCACCAACTTTGGGATACTTTGTTCCGTGTAGCAATAGATTACCGATACATTAATAGTGAAGCTAGAAATCATCCCTCAAGGTCATTACTCAACATCCATCCAGTGAATACCTATTGAACCCTTTTTGTATGTCAGGCACAATTCTAGGTATATGAGATACACTATTAAGTACAACTTTCAAAGATCCCTGCCCTGGAGGAACTAATATTTTACTGAGAAAAGAGAAACACTTATGAATAAACACATAAAAGAAGTGAAATAGGTGGCATGTTAGAAATTGATGAGTGCTGTGCAAAAAGGAAAAGTAGGCCAGGAAATAGTGGCCTTGGGGATGAGAGGTGTGGGAGAGGTTGGTACCCTATTGATATGTTTGGCTCTGTCTCCCTGTCTCCCCACCCAAATCTCACCTTGAATTGTAATGATTCCTATGTGTCAAGAGCGGGGCCAGCTGAGATAACTGTATCATGGGGGCAGTTTCCCCATGCTGTTTTCGTGGCAGTGAATAAGTCTCACGAGATCTGATGGTTTTATAAATGAGAGTTCCCCTGCACAAGCTCTCTCTTGCCTGTCACCATGTAAGACATCCGTTTGCTCTTCCTTTGCCTTCCGCCATGATTGTGAGGTCTCCCCAGCCATGTGCAACTGTGAGTCCATTAAATCTCTTTCTTTTATAAATTACCCAGTCTCGGGTATGTCTTTATGAGCAGTACGAGAATAGACTAATACACCTATCAAACTGAGTTCCTCTTACCAAAAGTAAAGTCCTGGAGTGGTAGGATGCCTGGTTCAAGGTTATTGGTTGACAGAAGGGAAAGCAGGGCTCTAGCACCAAGCCCTTTCTCTCTAAAGCATGATTCTTTCTGCAGTACCTCTGCTCTGCGACAGTTTCTCCTGGTTCACCCCGATCTTCCTATGGCCTCAGGGCCTCTGCTGGTGCCAAGCGTGGAGCTAAAGGCATGCCCCTTGCCGGGAGGGAGTGCCCTCTGTTCATAGCAGGTTGTGGCGATTGTTATTACATAGGCCTGGCAGGAATGTAGTCCACACATGCTTCTACCTGATCTGTGGGCCCGTGCCAGCCTTCCAGGCTGTTGTTTACTTGGCGTTCACTCTGAACATGTCTCAGGCAAACACAGAGCTGTGGAGCCTCCTCAGTCCACTAAGCGGAATTGGAGAAGTGGGGTGGTGGCGGGGTGGATTTCATGGTTGTGTCCTCCTTCCTAACTCTGAGTGGAGAGCTTGCTCCCACCTCATCTGCCCCTGGGGCCCCATCTATTTTCCTCCCAATCCCCAAAAAAGAATTTTTCTGAACTTTGATTTTTGTCCTAAGAAATGGTTTTCCAACCACACAGCTAAGCAGATATTTGAAACTACTGCTCTGTGTCAGAAAATTGGGTTGCTTCCCTGGCATTAGCTTCTTTCACCTCCACCATCTCTTATTAGGCATCACACAGAAGGACTGGAAAGACAAGTTGCTTCTGGATGGAGAAACCACTGCGGTAGGGGCAGTCACTGCTCCCACTGAGAACTTTGCAGTCTAGTGTCTCTCTGTCACCTCCCTAAGAGCACCAGAGAGGTGCCTGGAACAAGCACACAATTGCACACTTGTCAGAGAAGCATCCAGGTGAAGCGGGTCATACGCACATGAGCACACACCCAGTCACATCCTGCACGCACCACTGAGGCCAGATTTTGTTAAAGGGAATAACAGCTAAAAAAAAATCAAAAGTAAAGATTATAATGTTTTTTATTCATAAAAAGGGAGAAGTGAGTAAGTCAGAAGAAGTCTTATTAAATCCCCTAGGGAGAGTTTGCATCACCTGTGGGGTGGGTACCAGCATGAGACATAACCCAATGATGCCAAGTAGTGTCCTTGGCTTTGCAAAAGCAAAGGGACCTCTACTATCCAGAAATCTCATGCAGCCTTGCCTCTTCATTATCGCAATTAGCAAATTTGGAGAGACATCACCCCTGAGATTTGAGATTTTAGCATTACACTCTCTATAAGACTTGTGTTGGAATCCCTGCATGAGGTGATTTCTTATTATAGTTTCTTGGATCTAAATTATTAAACATTAATATTGCGTCAGATTATGTGAAAAATCACACCCATAATTCCTCTTTCCAAATCCATTCCCTTGGCTACTCCCCTCTCAGGCTGATTCCAGGATGGGCCACATGACTTGCTTTGGCCAATGGGATAATAGCAACTAGGATGCCAGCTGAGGTATACAAAGTGCCCATGCATTCCCTCTTGCTGCAGGGAACTCTTCCACCAAGCGTGAAGGGCCTAGGCTAGCCTCCTGGAGCGGGAGGGACCAGTGGAGAGAGGCCCCAGCCATCTCAATACAGCATCTACACAGCTAGGCACCCCTCATTGTGAGTGAGGCCAGCCTAAACCATCCAGCCCCAGGCAAGCCAGACCAGACCAGACCAGAAGAGTCCAGACAACCCACGGACTCATGAGAGACAGAACTCTTTCGTTCCTTTAATTTTGCAGGTGGCTTTTCTTTCTTCCCCCCACCCACCCCACCTTTTTTTTTTTTTTTTTTGGCTATTTCGGAGTTTCACTCTGTCACCTGGACTGGAGTACAGTGGCATCATCATGGCTCACTGCAGCCCTGAACTCCTCAGCTCAAGCAATCCTCTTGCCTCAGCCTCCTGAGTAGCTGGGACTACAGGCATGTGCCAACATGCCTGGCCAAGGTTTTCAAAAAATTTTTGTAGAGATGAGGTTGTTGTCCAGGCTAGCCTTGAAATCCTGGCCTCAGGCAATCCTCCTGCCTTGGCCTCCCAAAGTGCTGGGATTACAGACATGCGTCACCATGCCTGGCCTGGGGGTGGTTTTCTAAGCAGCAAAAGCTAACTGTTACAAATACCCCATAAAATCCTCCCTAAAATATGCTCTCTAGACAGCTGCCAGACTCTGAAGCCATTAAGGATTTATGATTGCAGTAAGTGGCTTTCTCCACGTCTTTATTTTAAATGCTCACAAAGCCATTTTATTTCCAAACTTTTTTTTCATATGGGTCCCCCAAAGTTAGGCATGGAACTCGCCATGTGGTTAATTATTTCTATTGAGGCTGGCAATGAAGTGAAACTGCCTCCTAGGAAGAAGTGTGTATGTGAGCTCACTCCCCTGAAGCTTTCACAGCACATGGGCCCACATCAACGTCCCAGCAAAGACCCTCCTCTTGGGGATTTCTATTTGTTTAATGTCTTCAAAGAACAGAAAGGGAATTTCTGACAGGTACAAATCATTGAGGGCAGCGCTCCTTTCTGCTATAATAAAACAAGCCTGTTCTTAGTTGCTCACCTACCAGGGGCCACTGCTCAGAGCAGAAAATCAATGTGAGCAGCTATAATCGCAAATATAATGACAACGGCAGGAAAAAACAGTTCCTGGGAGCACTTATATGGTGCTTTGACAGCCACTGGCTGTGACATCAAATAACTCAAGGAGGAAAAAGAACTATCCCGAGTGCAGTGGGCTGAGAGCTGGGTTTCAAGGATGCTGCTGGAGTTTTAAAGTAGTCCTTTCATAGTTTCAGGGCACTAGAGTTCTGTGGGCCAGTCACAGTGGTGGGGCAACTGAAGTGACTTGGGTCTTGACTTGGCCACTAGTAAACCTGCACCATTAATCCAAGATGACAGTGTCTAAGTAATCCAAGATTACTGAGGGCCTGCTTTAACCAGCTGCCCTGTCTATCTACTGATTTAACTCCTACAATAACGCTGTGAGGTAGGTGGAAACATCCTCTTTTTATGGACAAGGAGACTGAGGCTCAGAGAGGTTAGGGTACTTACCTAAGGTCACACAGCTCAAACTTGGCTGAGCTGGAATTAGATCTAAGACCTGTCTGCTCCCGCCATATCCTGTTCCATAGCTTGGTATGATTCTAGCAGTTTTGATTCTGGCCCAAGTTGCTCTGTCTTTAAGATACCCACTTACGTGGCCATAATTCAACATTATAAAGAAAAACCACTGAAAAAAAAATCACTGTGAAATCTTCTATTAAAATAGGATCATGACCAGTTAGAGAATTTCAAAGAACTGAGTCCTAACCCAAGTAACAATAAGCAGTACCTACGTAATTTCATTATGTGGGCTATTCTAAACAGTTCCAGAAATGGTATACTACTGTTAGACAAAAAAATATTTATTTGGAACTCTCTCTTTGCCCTGGATACCCCAAGTATCTACACAGAAAGGATTTAAAATGCAGCATCTCAAACACATACTTTCCACAGTTGAGCTGACTCACAGCATCATCACATGTGTTTTCATCATCACAAGTGAGGTCTGTCTTCTGTTGTGTATTTTGTGATTTATTCTACAGATGCCATTGTATCCTATATGTATTTCACCTAGGATTTTTAGAAATACTCCTTGCGGACAAATATTTAAATTCTTACTAAAAATTCTACCTTCAAAACTCTGAGGTCTATCTCCTCCATGAAGGCCAGCTCCTGTGGCAATTTTAGCCTGTCCCCGACGAGGCTGCAAGCCGCAAGATACAGTGACTTGCACTGCTTTGCTGTTGCATGAACCTCTCCTTCCTGGGTGATATGTTCTCTTTCTGTTTCCTCCACAACAGCACCCAATATATGGATAAATACTTAGAAATTGCTCCAAGTTTCCTGTTGACTGCAATAAAAGTGGGTCTGTGGGATAAAAATCCCAGCACTTTTGGAGGCTGAGGTGGGAAGACTGCTTGAGCCCAGGAGTTGGAGGTTTTGGTGAGCTCTGATCGCACCACTGCACTCCAGCCTGGGCAACAGGGCGAGATCCATGTCTTTAAAAAAATTAAATAAATAAAAATAAATAAAACAGAAAGAAAAGGGGAATTCTCAGTTTATCTGATGCTGTATGAAATTCTGGAAAAGATGAATTCCAGAATGTGGACTATCCTGGGATGCAATGATCACTCATTCATTCATTCTGCCAAACGCTACTGAGCACCTACAATGGGCATAGAGTTTTGCTACTCAAAGTGTGGTCAGAGGGCTAGCAGTCTCAGTTTCACCCAGGCTTCTGCCCTTTTCTTACACCTACTGCATCGAAGGTGCATTTTAACAAGCCCCTGGGGCTATTCATGTATGAAAGTCTGAGAAGCACTGCTTTAGAGGTACTGTACAGAACACGACTTTATTTATAAAGCAGCAATCCCGATGTCCAGTCTAATGATGGGGAAGATACTAGGAGGTACTTTGAAATAATACAGGATGGGAGCTTCTCCATGGCCCGGGCATGCTGTGAGCTCCTGATGTGGGGAGCTCAATGGTACTCTAGGTCTAGGAGGCTGGGGGTGTGGGTGGGTGAGGTAGCCACAGTAACTGCCGTAGAGCAAATTCTAGCCTCAAGATGGAAGTAGAGGGGGTGTTCTTAATGCTCATAAATTCAGCAAACTGTACTCTGTAAAGGATTTAGATGAAAAAGTTGTTTCTGGTGGTGGTCTTCAAACTTCAGTGTGCAAGAGAATCATCTGGTAACCCTGACTGAAAAAGGAAAGAAACAAAGACACAAACAACAACGGACTCCAGGGGTCACTTCTAGACCTTCTCATTCAGGAGATGGAAAGCAGTGGCCTTCAACCTGGGCTGAACACTGAAGTCATCCTTGGAGCTTTAAAAGACAACGATGCCTGGGACCCATCCCCAGAGATCCCAATTCACCTGGTCTGGGGAGAGGTCTAGGCATCGGGATTTTAAACAATTCTACAGGTGAGTATAATGAGCAACCAAGGTGGAGAACCATTCATCTCAAACAGAGGTGCTCAATGCAGCAGAGTGCCTGGGGGCCTTGTTCAAACATATTTCTGGGTCCTACTCCAGAGTGTCTGACTCAGTAGGTCTGGAGTCAGGCTTGAAACAGTTGCATTTCCATGTGATGCTAGTGGTGCTGGTTCTGGGGGCCACACTTTGAGGACTATTGGTATATAGGGAAGGGGTTGCGGCCCAAGATTGGCATTTTTAAACATGCAACTGAATGATTCTGAGGCCAGGTGTCTGAGCTCTACTCTCAGAAACAATGTTCTGTGTGGGGTAGGCAAACAGGTGAAGCCACAAAAGCTGTGCAATGTCAGGCTGGCATCAAGCGGTCCTCTGTGCTTCTCTCATTCAATGACACTGATCTTTTCCTCCCATTCCTATCTTCCAACCTAAGCACTCATTTCTAGATCCTTCTGCTGTCCTAAAGGGTGTGCGACTTTTTTCCCCAGAAAGGCAGAATTGTATAGTGGTCAAGAGGACAGATTCTGGACCCAGACTGCCTGGGGTGAGTCTCAGGTCTTAGCCCTCCAGGTTAAGTTGCTTAAATTTTCCAGGCTTTAGCTTTCCCATCCGTAAAGTGCAGTATCTGCCTCAGAGAGCTGATTAAATGAAATAATATATGTGAAATGCCATGAACAGGGACTAGTGCATGGTAAGTACTATTTAAATGTTGGCTATTATCCCAAGTCCTTCCTCTTAGAAAGCAGATAACTCGACTTCCTTTGGGAAAGGTGAAGGTTTCATGAGCCCGCTGGCTGGATGGGATATAGAGTTCTCTTTCTGTTACCCTAGCATTTGATATACATCTCTACCATGGCACTATTTTGCTCTATTGTTTAATTTTCTCCCTTGATCCACAGATTGGTGAGATCTGTTCTGGGGACAAACTATGCCTTGCTCATTTTTGTACCCAGCATAGTGCTGGACACAACATTTACTCTTAATAAATGTTGATTGAACAACTGATGATGTGGCAAAATAATATTTTTGTTTTGCTGTTTTGGAAGTTGCTTAGAATTCTCTATTAATGAGAAGAAATGAGTCTCTAATACACAACTGGTCTATCTGTTGAAAAATGGGGATAAAGGTTAGCATGCAAATGGTACAAGACAAGTCATCCTCTTCATACACTGCTCACTCCAAAGTCCACTGATGGTGAAGCCACAAGAAAGTCATGATGATGGGTGCATTTGTAAGACGTTAAATATTCTTATAACAAACTGCCTGATTCCCCACTAAATCTGGCCAGATGCTTGCTAAATTGGTTTCCTCTTTTTCTTGGACACACATAGAACACATTTCCCAGCCTCCCTTGTACCAAGGTGGGACATGTGACCAGGTCTTCCCAGCAGAATTTCAGTAGATCTGATGTGTGTCACCTCCAGGCCGAGGGCCTTACGATTGTGTGTTTCTTCTCCAAGCTCCCTTTCTTTCCCTGGACACCAGCTGGACACAGAATATCCAGAGGATAACTCTCAGGCCCTAACAGTTGGTGGAACTCCAAAATGGGAGGAGGCTGGATCCCTGAATGATTGAGTGGAGCTGAGTTCTCCTACCCTGTCTCCCGTCCCAACTCAAGTGAGAAATGAATTTTTATTATTTTAACTCACTGAATTTGGAAGGTATTACCTCACTTATCCTACTCCCAAAACACAGGAAACCAGAAGTCCCAACTTGGAGTTTTGAAATTTATTGGGGGAAGGGTTACTTTGAAGACCCGAGACATACCCGTTCGTGTGGATTCCCAAGGACCACTCCACTGCCAATATAAAACATAACACAGTTGCCTGGTCAAAGGAAGCAGCCGTATACATCTCTTTCACTACACTGATTTTCAGGATGAATTTTTACAGTAAAAAATACAAGCAAGTTTATTGGATAATTTCTTCATTTTTAGAAGTAAAACTGAAATTTGAGGGGTGGGGAAGGCAGAAGGAACCCCAAAGATCCTAAAAAATTCTCTCTTAAGATAATTGGCATAGTGATTATGATTTGATTTAAAATTATAATCTTTCCAGAAAAATGTGGCTGCTGGTGCCTCCTTCGGGCTTCTGCAGAACAGAGCCTTTGTGAGGTTTGCCTCACAGAAGACCAAAAGCCACATGCTCTAAGCAGGGCTTTGCTTGGCTCCATGTCCAAGGCATCATCCTCATTTATTCTTCCCACCAATTTTATATTACTGGGTGGTAAACTCACCATATTCTGGCTGCTCTTTGGTTTCAAAAGTCCGGTGGCCTGGGGCTGTATGGTCCCACCCCCTGGGGGGGTTGAGGAAGTTGCTGTCGTCTGAGGTACTGTCGTACTTGTAGTCCTGGTCCCCGCTGTTTGCCCTGGCCAAGGACAGGGACCTCTGCCACCAGGCCCGCCAGTCGGGGGACGGGACTGACCAGCTGGGCTTATTCTCCGGATGCTGATCTTTATCTGCTTCAGAGTCAGGACCGTCGACCACCTCTATGGTGACCTGAAGAATTCAGAACAGGCCAGGGTCAATGTGGAGTCAATAGCCTCCAAGCTACGTGACCCTTGGAAGAAAGTCTGAGAGGGCAGAGGGAAATGATGGATGCATCCCTTGTGAAGGAAAGCTGAGACCGCATAGTGATACCAATGGAAAACCTCCAGGGATGGTACACATGAATTCCACGACTAGATGGAATATGGCCTCGGGTTGAGAGGGAAAAATTCATCACTGGAGTCCCTGATTTACTGATGACTAAAAACTTAATAGCTGGAAACAATGACTGTTGGATTGCTGTGGGTTAGGAATTTGAGTAGAGCTGAGCCTGGAGAGTTTGTCTCTCCTCCATGTGGTATTGAGAAGCCCTTCATTCAGGAAGTAAACACATACTATATTTGTTCCTGAAGTGATACCAGAATAACCATATTATAATAAAACATATCATTTATGAGCACAAACTCTGTACCAGGCACTATCCTAAATACTCCACCTATATTTTTTAACTCTTGTAAAGACCTCCCATCCATGTTTGCATGTGCCACATTTCCCATTGAGAGAGGTGGAGCCCATTTCTCCTCCCTGGAGATCTGTATTGGCCATGTGATTCACTCTGTCCAGCAGAATGGATAGGAGTGGAATGGTGACGGATCTTAGCAGAAGCCTTACAGCTTCCATTTTCATTCTCTTGGAATGTTCTAACCGCTATGCAAGGAAGCCTAGCCTAGACCACTACGTGTGTAGAGACTATGTAAAGAGAGAGGTTGAATGGAGAAGAACCAAGGTCTCTCAGCCCATGTCTAGCTCTGAGGGCTCAGTCATGTGAGTAGGACCATCGTGGATCTTCCAGCCTCAATTGGGTCACTCCAGCCAACACCACTTGGAGCAGAGACAAGCTCTCCCAGCTGAGTTCTAGTCAAATTCCTGACCAACAGCAATCCCGTGGTCATTGTCTCAAAGTATTAAGTTTTGAGATGACTGTCAGATAACTTTTACAACCAGGGAAAACTGGTGCACAGAGACATCAACAACTTGCGTAAGGTCACAGGGCTAGTAAGTGGCAGACGTGGGGAGTCTGGTTCTAGAGCCCATGTTCTCCCTAACTTTGCCACACTGTCTCTCAAAAAGTAAGTGACAGAGCTACTGTCCCCTCATGAGACCAAAGAAACAACAAGACCACAGGTGCAGGTGGGCGTTGGTTGCTTCAGGGTGTACAGAGACATAAGTACAAGCTCCTCAAGACCAGGCTTTCCCAGCTACGATTTTCACTCACCCCATGGTTTATCCCTAGACTGCACACTCCTCAACCAACCCTTAGGGTCAGAGCAGATAGTCCTGGAGCCAACGCTAGAACTTGTCCTCAGATTTACGAAAGTCTCATTTTGAAGTCTGTCACGGGGCTGGAAGAATGAAGCTTCTTGGTTCCAAGAGACAATCAACGTAGAAAGACTTGTTTGAAAAACATAATAAAAGACGCATTGGGTTCCTTTAGCCATCACATAGCTCTTGCAACACCCCCTGGATGAGTTATGTGCAAATGAATCAGAAACATGCGCTCCAAGTAATCAACCCAAGATGTACTGGGCAGATGCATTTCCAGTTTTGCCCTAACCTGACATCTGAGAGAGTTGCTGAGATGCTCTGCCAAATTGCACCGGGGTGTGCCCATCCCTGAGACAAATAGCCCCTTCCTTTTGTGTTAGGAATGGGGAAGTTTGAATTCTGCTCACTTCAAAGGATGTTGCCCAGCCAATGGGCTGGGGCTGTGGTTTTGTGGAGTCTGGACACATGATCAAGAGGGTGACTTTCAACCCCAGAGTCTACTCAGGTTGCAGCAGGCCAAGTGCACCTTTCTCCTCTGTCATGGGACACCTAGAAGGGCACTGCTAGCTTTACCCCATGCCACCACCCTTACTCCAGTCTTGTAGGCACCCTTTGCATATTTGTAAATAATTGTGGAGCTTTTCAGTAATCCCAAAAGTAAAAAACAAAAAACAAAAAACAAACAAACAAACAAAAACAAAAGGGGGAAAGAAAAGCAAAAGAATACATCATACATCTTGTATCATTGCTATTTGCTGGAATGAATGGTCGTGGGAGAGTAATGGTAACAGGGACCCACACAGAAGCTTAGAAAGACAAGTGGAGAAGGAGCACACAGCTGGGTAGAGCCGAGCCAAGCTGGGCAGTGACAGGGCAATGCTGAGCCTTTGGAGACATAACCTTTCTTCTCTGCAGCCCCATCTCCCTCTGCCTGCAGACGGAACAACTGAGCTGCAACAATCGTCTGCAAGGCTAGTAAGGGTCTTGGAGGGGAGAAGCTGCCAAGAGCCAGGCAAGCCTGCAATTATGGTAATGAAATCAGTCTCTGGGTAGGAGATAAGAGGGAATGTGCCCAACACTTTTGGTATTCCATTTGTATTCAGACTGGAGTCAAAGGGATTGCTTAAACAAAACGTGCCCTGCAATTTCTCCAAGCTGGGAATAAAAACAATTTCATGTTTCAAGCTATTACCGTCAATATGATTTTTTTTTTCCTCCAAACTGCTGTTCAGATCCAAACAAAATAGATTTGTTGCCTGGCCAGGCAATGAGTAGCAAAATAGAAATTTACTCCAAAAGCTATATCGATGACTAAATCTCAACACTTAGAGGTTTATTTTTCCCTTTAATTGCTAGCCACTGCCTCAACTGAATTAAAACAAAAACAAAACACAAAACAAACAAATCTTAGGATCCACCCTTCCCTACAGTTAACAAAGTGAAAACCTCATGCTGATATCAAAATAAGAAATCTAATCTTGAGCCTGAGGTCTTATAGGCATCCAATTAAAAAGACTTAATGAGTGTGATCAATGACTTCTCCAATGGCAAGGGCTCGTTTTATGTTTCCTATTGCTCTCATTCTATTTACACACATTTTAGCATCAAAGAATCCGTTGATAAAGATGTCTTGAATAACGATCAGTGTGATGAACTGTAGGTGCGGAGTGAGCACAGATTTCCAAATTGACAAAGACTCTAGATCTTACCATCCTTTCTCATCCTTAACACACATAATTGAAGTGTCTTAGTATACTTTTTTCTTTTGGACTTTTCCACACTCAAGTCATGATGATAAAAGAAAGGGAACTCTTTCAAAAGCCGCAAGTTCAATTTCTGGCACAATCTCCCCAGCTCCAAGAAAGAGAGTCCAAAAGAAGTGATAATTTGGATAATTCTGTCTTAGGAAATGAGGAAAAGTTCCAATGCACCTTGATCAGCTTTCCTTCTCTTGAAAATTAATACATTGACTAGAAGCAAACTCTTGATTCTTGCTTGGAAATGCACTTTCCACAGGGAAACCCACACCATTCTTAGTCTAGCTGATAATAAACCAACGCCACTGAGAATCCAGAGACCATGCTCTTCAAACTCAGGAAAGCCTTCTTGCTTGTTGGTCCTCTAAGCCTTGTGAGCTGTGGAAAGTCGTGGGAATGGGCAGGTCTTTTCTGGAGAGGAAAAGGATTTCCTCAGGAGCACAGAGCATCCAAGGACGTGTCTCCAACAATAGTTTTAAATCCAGATCATTCTACCCCTTCTCTCTCGACAATTGCCATAGAAAGAACACAAAACGGACTAGGAAGATATCTAATTTCCTCTTCTCAGACCTGCTGATGCTTTAAGAACACGGGTGGCAACCCCAGCTAACTGTGGTTACTGCTTTGAGACTTGCAGCATGTCAATCCAGGCATTACTGTCCCTTCTACACAACTTAGACCCAATTTTCAGGCACACAAACTGGCTTGGAGAATTCAACGTCCTGAGGTAAACAGCAAGGAAGGTATAGTGTTGGTCTCTGAACCAGTTCTTCTGATTCCCAATTATTTTTATCTATGTTTCCTCTGTCATCTTCATCTCCAATATCATCACCAACCAGCAGCTATCAGTTTTGGGAAGCTTATCCTATATTGGGCCCTGTGCTAAGTACTTCATATGGATGATCTCATTGAATCCTCACAGAAAATCACACTTATATGTAGTATTATACTACATAGTTACTCGTAGGTAGTACTGTCATTCCAATTTTATAGACAAGGAAACTGAGGCACAGAGAGGCCCAGTAAACCTGCATGGGGCTACAGAGGTCAAGTCTGGCTGACTAAATGGTGGTGCCTGATTCCAAACACAAGTCAATCTGCCTCCATATATTGACAGCAGTACCTCATGAGAATCTGAGCTGAACAGGCTTGTCTCTATAGGGGCATGGGTCCATGTCCTGGGCAGAGAAATTTCTTGATTCTTATCCAGCCAGACCTGCCATTCCTCTAAAAGTATTTTAGAGAAAAAGGAGGAGGCAAAATCAAAAGTAGAAGCACGTACAACTGTAACCCTGGCCAACTCATCTGATTGTATCTTGTGGCACTAAAGAGGCCTGTGGCCATGTAATGTCTGTGCAAGGAAAAAAAGGCCTTTACATGACTATTTTTAAGTCCCTCTTGATGGGAGAAAAGAAAAGAAATAAGTATATTGACTGAAATGAATACTAATCTCAACTTGATCCAGAAAAGAGAGTATTTGGTTGTGAATAGCTAGTGTAGTTCATTACTACACTGTAAGTAAGTAATGCAGTAAGCCTAATAATGCATTTATTTCAGAGATTTTTGTCTCTGATAACTATCAGCTGCAGACTGAAAACCCAGCCAAGGATACCAAAGTCTAACTTGTTCTGGGGGATTCACTTTCTTTCCTGAATGATTTTTGTTTTCAATAAAACCCAACCTCTTATATTGTTTGAAATTTCATATGGAGATTCAGTTTAGGAGTTTGAGGCCATTTATTTCTATTTTGTGCATTTTTTCCCTTCCTCACTTCCACAGCTTGAAGCCAGTCTTAAAATAGAATTGTCTGATTCACTTGGGACCGAGGCTGCCTGACTCCTGGGAGTTAAAATGCTCTACAGAAGCAGGTGTTGGGGCTTTTAGGAGGATTTCCTATCCTGAAAGTCAAGAGGCCCAGGGGGGACGTGGCCTCTTGCATGGGCTTAGCGATGTCACTTTGGAAAGGTGCAGGCTGTTTCCTTAGCCCTGGAGCGTGGGAAACACTTCCAGAGCCTGAGGGGGTGGGGCGGTGCAGAGGGCGGGTATCAAGTTCCCATTCAGCTCCCAGGCTCCAGCTAGGGAGAACCAGGTGGGGGCAAAGGCAGGTTGCCAGGGGAAGGGGCAGATGAGGCCAGAAGGCCTGGCAGCGGAAGCCGACCCACTGAAGGGCCCCTCACCTGACTTCACTCTGATACCCAGGGAGAGCGAATGCTTTGACGGGGCCTGCAGGGACCAGCAGGGCTGTCTGCTGGGCTGAATCGGCCCTGTGTCAAACCAGTGGATTTCAACAAAAGAACAGTGCTCTGAGAAAGGGGTGAGAGCTGCCAACACGGAAACCATCACCTCCTTGTAGAAAGCACCTCGTGTTTTAAAGGACCACCAGGGAACTGGTTTACACAAGTGCAGTGGTGCATGAGGCAGCAGCAGCTAGTGCTGTGTGGTGTGTGGGTGTGTGTATGTGCATGCACACACAATTACATGCTGACAGAAGACTGGGGCTCCCAGGGCTAGCAGTTGTTTTATTCTTTCTTTGAACATCTTTCTGGGTGACCAATACTAACCTTTTGTGGTCTTCCAGAAACAGAAGGCCAGAAATGCAGCACAATTTTATTCTCTTTAGGGCCAAAACGTCATCAGATCAATAAAATGCTGGCCACCGTCCCCCTCCCTCTGTATCACCAACAGAAAATTTACAGATAAGGATTGTATAGAGCAGAAATAGAATAACTCGACTGGGCAGTAGGCAGTGATTTCTGTGCATGGGTTGTCGACAGTGACCTCCACAACATTTTTTATGCTGTACCATCAACAGAGCCTGTCTGACTTCTTCCCACCTGTTGAGATCCACCCCCTTCGGACACAGTGCTTTTCCTCCTCTGTCTTCATGATCCCTCCAGCACTGTTTTATGTGGTAGCTGGGATCTTCACACTGATCTAATTTATTGGAGGGAACAGGGCTTACATTTTTCAATTTCCTATATAACCTAATGCAGCATTTTATATACAGTGGGGGTTGGTATTCTAATGAAGTGTTCTCAGTGAGATTTGCCTGCCCCCATGACACTGGTGTTAAGAGCAAAACAACTCAGGTCTACGAAACCTGATCTAAAACCGTATCACGCAGAGGGTGTTAGTCTGTGGAGAGAGAAGCAGTTAATGAAGGATCAATTGGTCTGAGTCCAAGTTCAGGAACTTTCTGGTATGTAAGCAAACTGGCATTTGGTCCAGAGAGGAAAAAGTATGGAAAAGGTGCCCCTATACAAATAGAAAGAATTGGAAGCAAAGCTTACAAGTATGGGCTGGCTATGGTGGCTCATACTTGCAATCCCAGGACTGTGGCAGGCCGAGGCAGGAGGATTGTTAGAGCCCAGGAGTTTGAGCCCAGCCTGGGCAATGTGGCAAAATCCTGTTTCTACAAAAAAATTTAAAAATGAGCTGGATGTGGGGGCACACACTTGAAGTTCCAGCTACTCGGGAGGTTGAGGTGGGAGGATCGCTTGAGCCTGGGAGGTAGGGGCTGCAGTAACCTATGATTGTGCCGTTGTATTCTAGCCTGGGTGACTGAGTGAGGCCATCTTTAAAAAAAGTATGGAAGCAGTCATATGAGGATAGGGGCTGGGTTGCTCGGGGGATGAGCCTCTCTCAACCATCATAGGGACCATCTTTGGGAGGAAACAGAGAAAGGTACAAACAACATGCAAAATTAGGAGTTTGTCTCTGAATGTGGGTTGAGAGTCTGAGAGCCTGGATTTGAACCCTACAACTACTATTTACTGCCATGTGACTTTGGGTAAACCAAACAGTAACTTCCTGAGTATCTGGTGCATTACTGATAGTATTAGAAAAATGACACGGGCTTTGTCTCCTTCATGAGGGTGTTGGGAGGGTCAAATCAGATCAACATTTGCTTTGTAAAGTATACTGAGCTATTTCAGTGTAGATGAAAGTTATTATTTTTAACCCCAGTCACCCTTTCCTTAACCTTCCATTTCCTACTGCTTCATCAGATCCCATCTTAGTGGAAGATAGCCATCTCTCCCCTAGGAACTCCTATTCTCAACCTCCTTCCTCTTATTGTTTTGTAAGTCATGTATACTTTAGAGTAACGGAAGCTTGTCTCTTTGTGAAGGAATTTCTGGTGTCCAAGGCAAGTTAGAGGGGCATTAAGAGAAAGAGCTTTCCTGAGTGCTTTGAAATGTTTGAAATCATTTGCCCAATCTGTTCGCAGGTCAGATTGGCCTTTTCCTAAAACTGTCACATTTCATCAATTTTGTTTTGTTTTTTTTTATATTTTGGACTATTTTGTTTTGATTTGCTTTTATATTTCACTGTCTCTTAAATTAGTATGTATTTTGTAATCCTTGGTGTGTCGTACTTTAATTGATAGTGTTTTCTTCTTTTGAGTGGTTCACAAAATAATGGTGCATCTCACAATCATGGGTGTCGCTTAATGAAATGCAGCACTGTTCTTATGGAGATAACATGATCTTAAGCAGGAATCATTAAGGGTTTAAGAAGAAAAGTGAGGTAAGGCAGCAGTTTCCACTGGAATCATCAGAAAACAGAAGATGGACTGTTTTGTTATCTTCTATCTTCCATGTGCCAAGAATTACCTGGATATTTGGATTCTGCCCATTGATATCAGCTTTGGAAAGATCTGGAAAGTTTGGTAGATCAAGGAGAAAGGATCTGGGGCCATCTCTTTGCAATGAAGGGTGCCCCATCTCTTGTCGGAATCGCGGTCTAGGGAAGGGTTGGTGTGCAGCCTGGTGGTCCAGACGCTCCCCTGGTTCTTCTTTGGAGAGAGAAAAGCTGGTTTCTGATGTGGAGTCACTTCCCACGTTGAGGTTATTCTAAAACAAACAAACAAACAAGCAAACAAACACCTATTAAAGGGACACATGATTAAAAAACGTCACCCTTAACAGTCCATTATATTCAGGAGCAAGGACAATTCCAGCGGCTGAAATTAAGCCAGTAGGACATTCCAAACTTGTTTTGCAACCCCATGGTTTAGTTTCTTCATGTCTTAAAAGCCAGATCATCAGAAAACTTCTTCTAGCCTGCTACTTGGGAATTTTCTGAGGGTTACTGAGTTATGGGCTATTTATTAAGCTTCAAAGTACTTTAAAAATGAAAACACTATATTGAAGGAGAATAGGTGCTCATTTAAAGCTGGAACCAAATTATGTTTCTCTTCTCACAGCTTCAACTGATTAATCACCTTGGCTTTAGTTATAGTTCTAGTGTCCAGAGTTGCTTTCTTTTGTGTAGGCTATGGAGCAAAAGATCTGACCAAGCTGGATAAAGTTCTTGGGCCATATTATTGATTGCATACATTCATCCAGTTGTCTGTCCATTTGTCCATCAACTCATCCATACATCCATTCACATATCCATCTATCCACCCATCCATCCATCCATCCATCTATCCATCCATCCAACCATCCATCCATCCTTCCACCCACACACCCATCCATCCAATCAACAAATGCCAACCATGCTAGGCATAGGAGATACAGCAATAAACAGGATAGACATGAGGCCTATTATTTTGAAATGTACAACTAGGTGAGGGAAATAAACAATAAGTACATAGATAAATAAATAAATAAGATCAGATCACAGAATGGTGACTGCCAAGAAGAAAAGAAAGAAGATGATGGAGAGTGGCTGGGGAAAACCTTAGATAGCTGGTCAGGGAGAACCCCTCAGAGAAGGTGACACTTGAGGCAAGATCTGAACAAGAGAAGGTGGCACCCTGCAATAATCTGGGGGAAGGACATTTTAGCAAAGGGAACAGCAAAGGGAGCACTCAAGTCTAGGATGGGAATGAGTTTGGCTGGTTTGAGAAACAGAATGGCCAGCGAAGCTGTTGTAGAGGGAAGGAGGGAAGAACCATAGGTGATGAGGATGAAGAGACGGGGATAGTCAAAGAAAAAGTCATGAAAAGGCATTCTGAAATCTAATGATTTTATACTGAAAAGTGCAAGCCCCTTGTTTTTCCCAGGTGTGAAAAATGTCTCCATTTCTTTATCGCTATGGGGAAATTTCTCTAGTGATTGAAGAGTATAGAAGTTGCTGGACTCCTTTTCCAAACCAGCCTTTCTTTTTCTCCCCTCTCCTCTCACAAAAGATTTACTCCAGCCTTCAGGGATAGCATTTTCATGTTTACTGGTGGAGAGAGACAAGGAGATAGAATTTCACCAAGCTTTGGGTCAGTGGTTAATGTTCCTGTTATTCTTGGGCATGTTTTGGGGTTTGGGAGTGTATGTTTCAGCACACTGTCTCCACACACCCTCTCTGCCCCCCACCACAGTGCCTCTGACCCAGCCAAAGGGTTGCATCTGGTATAAAAACATTCATGACTCTGAGCACCCAAGGTCAAGAGCACTGAGGCTGAAACACACTAGCAGATACATATCTTCTTGGAGAGCTAACCTTAGGGAAGGGATTATTATTTTTACTTTTATTTATGTGTCATTTTTTAGAGACAGGGTCTTGCTCTGTTGTCCAGGCTGGAGTGCAGTGGCACAGTCAAGCTCACTGCACCCTCAGACTCCTGGGCTCAAGCAATCCTCCCGCCTCAGCCTCCCGAGTAGCTGGGATTACAGGCACGTTCCACCATGCCCAGCTGTGAATGGATTTTTATATATCTGTTTAAATAGGAATGGGGCTCAGGAACAAACTCACTGGTGCAGAGACCACCTCTGAATGTTCGAAGAGGCCAAGGGGAGGGTGGAGATAGAGACCTCATCTATCACCTCTTTAAAACATGCAGTGGTAGGGGAAAGCTGGCTACTCTGCAGCATGTTTTTGCTTGCCTTTCCACAGCTCAGAAGATGTGGGCGGGGGCAGTGTCTTTGTTCACCTTTCCAGTCACCTCTCTGCCATGGTTTTCGTCTCCTGGCACATCCTGGTAGAGGGAGTTGCCCTGACATTTTGAGACATTACTCAATGCAACAGAGCCAAGTGTATTGTTGTTTGAGCCTAGCACAGAGAGAAAGAGAGAGAGAGAGAAAAAGAAGAGAAGAGAGAAAGAGAAGAGAAGAGACAAAGAGAAGGAGAGAGAAGAGGAGAGAAATGAAGGGAAGAGAAGAAAAGAGAAGAGAAGAGAGGAGAGAGAGCATGCTATCTTTTCTTAACATAAAAAAAAAAAAAAAAAAAAAGGGACGTCTCTATGACATCCCAAAGGGGAGATAGCTGAATGTATTTGTTCCCTTGCTTTTTTCCCTTAATCTCCAACCCTAAAATTTCTCCAGCAACATTAGGGAGGACAGTGAGATTGTCATGGAGAATTCCTTGTGTAGGATTTAGGATTACGAATCTTGGAAGGGGCCCAGAATTTGCTTCCCAATTACTTTAGTACTTCTTGTAAATCAAGCCCTAACTTCATTACCACAATGGAGGTATACTGCTTAATTAGGTTAAAAATGGGGCTTTCTTTCCTTTCCCCTGTGATGTAGTACTCTTTCTACTATGAACACTTACATTTTAGAAGAAGTAGAAAATGTGTTTTTGCTACTCTTTAACATTTTGCCTAGATGTCTGAAAAAACAGGGACTAAGTTTGATTGATTGATTGATGTGACTCTTGAATTTTTCCTGGTAGGAAATCCACCACCACAGAGTGCTTCTGGCTTAGCCCCAGACCAAGCAAATCCCTTAAACTCTCTAGGACTCAAGGACCTTGCATGTAAAGCAGATTAGATAATAAGAAGAACCCTGTACCCTCCCCGCAAGATTAGTCAAGATACTTGGGTTAGGTTGTGTCTACACATGGAAAGAGAAGCGTCGCATTAGGGCCACTGGCTGGGCAGTTCAGGCCACAAATACCTCTGCCAGGAATAGTCAGACAACTGGGGCTGAAGTATGTTTTGGCTTCAGTTATGCACACAATTGTGGCATTTCTCTATCTCTCCGAACTTCCCTGCCCCCCAGACACAGGCTTGGTGTTTGCAAAGTATTTGGAAGATGCTAAATAATAAAGAAATGCTAATCACAATCTCTGAACATCTGAGTTACTCTTGCACCTCTTCCAAAACATATTTAACTAGAGACCTTGCCTCCTTGCAACGGCATGCCCCCAAGCTATTAAGAGACCGGAAATCCTAGGATAGGGGAAGTGTGGCTAAGGATGGCCCATATAGAATGAAACCCTGTTTCATTCAATCAATAACAAGATTTAAGAGTAGCCATTATTTTAGTCATCTAGACTTTAAATCTAGAGTAGGAGACAACAGACAGAATATCCTAGAGTAATGCAGAAGAAAACCTTTCTTCATCTCTTCTCAAAGGGACATACTGCACATCCTCCTTGCAGAGCCCCCATTGGAGGTCCTGGTTGAGGACATCAGTCCAGCTATCACCAAGTTCACTCACTGAGTATTCCACTTGAATTATTCCAGCAGAGTAAAGGTTTTCAACAGGGGTGGATCTCAAGGTTAAAAGTAAAATATTTTGTGTTTTATTCAGGCAAGCAAACATTCTTCTCTGAAAATGATATCTTAGGGAAAGTCTGGGAATTTAAGGAAAGAAACATGACCATTCTTTCCAAAATGCTGTTGAATTCATTCTGCCCCAGTTAAAGTGATACAAGGGGGTCTGCTCATTTTGGGAAAATATTGCTTTACCCACAATGTGTCTTTGAGTTGAACATCAATCTATGAGTTAACACTGACAATGAGTTAACACTGAGTTAACTATCTATGAGTTAACATTGACAATGCTGCAGTACCAGCAGCAATGTTTCCTCTTGTGACTATAATTTCAGAGCTGTGACTAGCAATGAGAAGGAAAACAGAAGAAATGCAGCTACTGAACGGCTTATGCACATGAACTGTTCAATTGCTGAGGCAGGTGATCGTCATTGGCCAAATTATTTAGCTACTGCTTGGTGCTCCTCTCCTTCTATTATTTTAGAACTTATCTAAAACAGGAATAGTAATAAAAATATCCTGTTCTTGCAGCCTAGTATTTTGCCTTATATGGCAGTACTGTGGCAGACATTGCAATTGCCTGCCCAATGTCTAGTCCCCTCTTTTTCCTACTTGGTGTTTGTTTCAGGTGGCTGTGGACCTGGCAAAAACTACATTTCCCAGCATGCACTGCATCTGGATGTGACCATATGACACAATTCTGCCCCAAGAGGAGTAAGTGGAAGGTTCTGGACAGAACTGCTGAAAAGGAGTTTTCAGATTCGGTTTTGCCATTTGCCTTTCTCTCTTCCACTTTGTCCTGCCTGAAATGAGGAAACAGGGCTTGATGTGAAATGAGACAGCTGGCAGGCCTGAGGATGGAGGTTGTAGTCTAAGCGTGGCTGACTGGAAAGATGGTGGGCTTAGGTCCCTGATAGCATTATGGAGCTATCGCGCTGGTCCTGGAATGGTGACCTCCATATGTCTTTTACTGTTATCATTAATCTTAATGTTAACATTGACAATGCTGCAGTACCAGTAGCAATGTGCCCTCTTAGGATTTTAATTTTTGAGTTATGATGACCAGGAAAATTATAAACGTTTTGCCACTGAAAGTAATAGCAAAAACCAGCATTACTTTTGCACCAACCAAATGTTATCATGATTGCAAGAGGTTTTTCCTCACCAAAAGGAACCAGCATTCCTTGGACAAAGGGTTGAGTGCAGAGCTTGGGCGGGGAAGGCACAGATGAATTTGGGATACTTTCCTGCAACAAGAAGCAAGGAAGCTTTCAATGACTAACAGGGTACTCTTGAAAGAACACAGGAGCCAGCTTGACAGGCCCACATTGCTCACAGATCAGAGAATTTGGACCAAAAAAAGAGATTGTACTTGACTAATGCACACTGAATCTATCAAAATTCATAAGGAGACTC